ACTAATATATTAATATATAACAACTCTTGTATTGATGGACCTAACAAATATACAACTAGTTTTAAGATTATTCTGTAGTTGTTGAAGTCGAATACGTGTACTAATATCAAGAAGATCATAAGAATTAAGTCTTTTAGTAAAGTTTGTAATATGATGTTGCAATTGGATATCCTATATGTTGCGAATATTATATAGTTGAGGATGAAGTAGTGTACTAGTAGGAATTGTACGGCTTGTAGAATTATAAATTATAATAATACAAATACAATATAATTATAATATAAGGCTATACAAAGTTAATTTTTTGGTTCTTATAACATAAAATTTGTAAAATGACACGGCAACCCGGTTTTTAATTTTATTTTCAAAAAATTTTATATATAAAAAAGCATATAAAAATTTTTATAAACACCTAAAAAAAACTTCATTTAGATAATAAATATAGTTAAGAATTTTGCAAAATTTGACCCGGCTGGGTTATAAAAACTAATTTATTAAGTTTGTATGGCCTAATATAATTTAATATATTAAAATTATATTGTAAATATATTATAAAAATGTTTTTAATTTTATTTATTTAATTATATTATTATTATATAATTTGAGAATTACTACATTTAACAGAGGGGGATTTTCCCGGTAATACAAAATACAGATACAATGCATAATAATAACTTCAATGATCATGTAATATACAAAAGAGTAATGAACAATTGTTACCTTAACAGGGAAGTATTACGTAATAATAAATAAATAAAGGTTCGATTAGACAATACTGATCTCTTTTTTTAAGTCATAGTATTTAAGGGTTGCAATTTTATTTATTTCACGTTGCCTAATACTATCTATATATATATCAGTACATTCAAGATACATCAAAATTTTACACCCATCACTAAAACATTATTTGCAGGTTTAATTTCAAGAGTTTAAAGTGTTGCAAGATTTTTAACTTTACGCTGTTTAACAATTGATCGATATATTTATATTAGTATACTGCTTAAAATTTAAGTTTTGGCCACCTTTTAATTGCTGGTTTTCATTACTATGAATTTTTTAAAGCAGTGGATTCAAGTTTAACCATCTTCTAAACTGCAGTGGATTTAAGTTTCACCATCTTCGAACTGCAGTTATAATTTTATCACTACTAAATATTCAAAAGGTTGAAGCTTTTCACGTATTGAATATATACATAATGGATCCGTTACAAAGTCAGAAAAGTGGTAAAGGAAGCAGTATTAGTTTAGAAAATAATAGACAAGCACAATTATCTTTCAAAAATAGCCTAATTGATACAGAAGCATCTTCTATAAGTCTACCTTATGGTTCTGATATAATTGAGATATTTAATGAGGATTCTTCTGATGAAGAGAATGAGGAACTTGCATTAAAAATTTATAAAGGCCAAATATTTTAAACATGAAATGATGTTGAGGATTTCTTGAAGAAATATGGACTGGAACAAGGTTTTAGCATTCAAAAAAAATGCAGTGAATTATGTATCGAGGATGGTAAAGAAGTTTTATGTAAAGTTAGCTGAGAATGTAGTTGTTCTGGTAATTATCAACCTAAAAAGGTTTTAAAGCTGGAGGACCAATGAAATCGTAAATCAAAATATATCTGATATGAATGGAGAGTTAATGGAAATATGCCTAAATCATCATCAATAATCATATTTACAACTGTCGTCAATACACACAACCATCCAATATCTTCTGCACCATTAATTACAATTTTAAACTATCATAAATTAGGTGAAGATATGCTGAAATTTATCGATTTTTGTGTAGCATATGGTACAACTGGGGTGCAGAACATAGAACAACTTCTAAAGGGTAAATTTCTGGGTCAAAAAATTTATAAGAAAAATTTGTATAATGCTATTCAGAGAGCAAAAAAAAACTCCTATCAAGTAATGATTTGGATGCAACAAATCTTATGCAACATCTTTATCATCTCAAAACTAATGATCCTAGATGGTTTGTGGGGGCTAGGTTTGATGGTTCTAAATGAAGACTATGTAGTCTTATTTTTCTTTCTTCTGAACAACAAAATATTTGGACAAGTATCGTGATATCATTTTTTTTGATATCACATCACACTCCAACAAATATAATATGGTTGCGTGCTTTTTTATAATTATTGATAATTGCAACTATACTCACCTAGTAGCCACTGCTTTACTAGAAGATGAAACTGAAGAGAGTTTTACCTGGGCTCTTTATATGATTAACAAATGCACTGATAATTTAGCTCTGCAGGTAATTTATACAGATTCTGACCCAGCAATATCAAATGTGATTCTAACAGTATTCTTTGGGTCTTTATATTGTCTATGTTTATTTCATATTAACCTTAATCTAAAGAAAAACTTAAGAAACAAAATGAATACAGCACAATTCAATGAGTTTCTTAAAGATTTTTACACATGCCGGAATACAATGGTGGTTGACGTTTTTGAGAGTAGATTTGAATCCCTTAAGTTCAAGTATATAGCTGCCACCAGTTATATCAAACACCAACTTAAGCCTACCAAAATGAAGTGGGCAATTTGTTATATTAACAATCAATTTACCGCAGGGGCGAATAGTACACAACGAGTCGAAAGTTTTAATAGAAAGATTCATGATAGTGTTAAGGCGAATTCATCACTAATGACTCTTGTTAAGAAAATTCAAGATCTGCTTGATCAGGAATCTGAATATACTTGTGTTAAAGAGTATAGAAGTCAAGTACTAATGGTTAGACTTGCGACTATACCAAAAACCTTTTTTAACTCCTTAACTATTATTGTAGATGAGTATCTAACAGAACCCGTGTCAATATGCGTTTGTAAACAAATGCAAGAATGCTTTTTTTATGACACTTATAAGCTTGATATTATCGATTTGAGTTTAATTAAAAATGTATATTATCATTTTATTGTATTAAACAACAAGATTAGAGGTGGTTATATTATTAATGCATATCATTATTTATCACTAATTAAATGCAAATCTGCATCAAAAAAGTAATCAAAAAAACTCAAATTTCACTTTTTTTGTTTTTGTCTAATGATAAAATTAACTAAGGTTTTACTTTTGTTATTAGAACTAATTTTTTTTTTTTGTATTTAGATATACTCGGATGACAATATAAACAACAGGGCATATGAAGATGACTATGAATTAATACAAATTCTATTGACAGACATTCTGAAGACAATTGAAAGCTCGAAGATTCTTGAAATTTGATGTATTACTTTTTCTTGTAGCATAAAATCTCAATTTGTGATATTAATTTTGGATAGCTCACATAGGTGTACTTGTAATATGTTAATTATAAATGGCTATCTATGTCGTCATTTCTACAAGGTTCTTCAAACTTCTCTATGTGCACAATGGTATATTGGTCTTGTATTAAAGCAGTAGTATAGAAATGACAAGGTGAACAATGACCAAGATTTTTTAATGCAACATAGTCATATTTCATTGTATATAGAATCATCTAATAGTTATGATGCAACTAATTGCACTTTCAATCTTAAACATCTAACACAATTCGGGGAGGTGAATTATATACTCCAGTTCTTTAAAATATAAACAATACCTGGTCAAAATATAGTTATGCGTATAGATTAATGAAGAAAGTTATCGATGTTGCTATTAACACCAATTCATATGATGAATTTATCAGATTATGTCATCAATTTCTTATAAACAAGAAATTAATGTTAAACGAAGACAATCAATCCGAAAATATTCTCATCATCAATTCTATTATTTCTACAAGAAAAGAAAGACCCTCTGGCAGAGCAAAAAGTGCTATTAAAATTCAAGAATCGAATGCAAGAAAACGTCGATGTTTGTCCAATACTAATACCAATATCCAATCATCTAACAATAGAAAGCGATGCCAAAAATGTAGACAAAAGGATTATAATCGGGCTACCTGCAAAGCCGAAATTAAAAATAATTAGTATACAACTTACATGTTGTTTACAAATTGATTTAGTTTATAATTTGTATTGACTATATTGACTTACATGTATTTAGCTTAGAATATGAATTTTATTTTGCTCTTAGTAGTTGCTTTAAACATTTTCTTGTGTTTTTTTATAGTTTAACGAAATTTGATTGTATATACTAACTATACTAATGTTAAGGCTAGTGCAATATTGAACGCATACTAAAGTCTACAACAATGATCAATTCAATAACAATTAGTAAGTATATTTTATTAGATTTTCTTAATATGTTTAATGATTCATCTAACATGTTCGATTTATTAGTCAAATAATTGAATGTGACACATCAATTAATGTAAACCTCTATGGGCGTTCCCTTTTTAAAGGTTAGAGTTAAGGTAATATTTGCATAGTTCTTTTTCGTATTAGGTAAGGTTTTAGATTAAATAGTCTATATTGAGATTTTGTCTTTGTAAACTGTCTTTACTGTGTTAATTTCTGTGTATGTATGTACGTAAATACATATGTATATACCTGTTCTAATCTGCGTTACAATATTATATTTCTTAGATATGTATATACATATCCATTTTTTATGTATATACAGTTAACTTTCCATAAGTGCACTTCACATACGCTTTTCTTCTATATCAAAATTTTGACTGATTGAATGTAATCTATGCACATATATACATATTGTATCGTATTATATCACTACAGCTTGTAAGTTTTCAATAAAGTTTTTTTATATACGTATGTACAGTAATCATGATACACTAATGATAATTTTACTAATGCAATCTATATACTATATATTATTATAGAGGATAAATTAATAGAATTTTTGCAGTTACAAGTTTACTTTCTATTAAGTATAATTTTGTTAGTATGTTTTTCTTGATGAAAGCATTGTACACATTAGCATTAGTGAACTTATTTTACCTATATTTATGTTGTGTAATATGTATTATTTATATATTACTATGTATTATAATAAATTTTAATATATATTCGTGTGATTACGTGATAGGTGAGGAAATTCCTCCCAGTTAAGATTAGCAATTTTCATATAATTTAATATATTAAAATAATATTATAATTATATTATAACAATATTTTTATATATTAAATCGTTGCATTGTATAATGCCTTTTAACTATACAAATAATAATATAAAAATTATATAATATTAATATAAAAACTATATAATTTTATAAATTATATTATTTTAATATAATAATTATATTGTTAAAAAAATTTAGGTTTCTGCTAAAGAATTAGACAAAATTATTATATATTTTTACTTAATAATATTTAATCTTATTTATAATAAATAATACATAATAAATAATTTTTTAATTGGGGATGTGACAACTTAGAGTAGTGGTGTTATAGAACAGTTTTATTTTATTAGTTTATTATTTTATCTTAGTATTATTTTATTATTTTGATATTTGTATTTT